CCCCTAGGGCTGTGCTGTGGGGCCTGCATGCCCCCTGCGATACCCCTCCCTCCCCAGAGCTATGCTGCAGACCCCCGAGCCCTCTGGTGTCATCCTGCCCCCACGTCACTTATTACCCTCTGTCCGTGGTCAGTGGCTGGGGGTCCCCCCCCAGCCCTGGGGGTCCCTGCTCCCCCTCCACAGCCCCCCGGGGGTCACCCAAGGACAGCGTACCCCAGCTGGGGCCCAGCCCAGCTCTGCCCGCCAGCGCTGGGAGCCCTTCCTACCCTCGCTGGCTCGAAGCCCCCATTTCTCCCCTTCCCTTTTTAAGGAGGGGGTCTCCCGTTGTCCTGTGCTTCGAGCCCCAGTTGACCCCCATCTTTCTTGGCTTTGGGGAGGGGGGTTCGGTGCCAGTGGGCTGCCCCTGCCTTGGAGGATGCCAAAATGGTTGCGGATGCTTAAATTGTAGAGGTATTAAAAATAATCAGGTGAGAGACCTCTCTTGGCTGTGTTAGGTGGTGGTCTAACCGCCTGCTGGGTCTCTTTAGGGTTTGTTTTTAACGCGCTGTAGCATCAGCTCTTAAAACTGAGCCTATAAGGCAAAACGCGCCCTTTGGCTGTGGTTTTTGGGAGCCAAAGCCTTGGAGGATCTTGGAGACTTTGTCTCTTTTCACTGAGTTTCTCCTCTATGGGATTAACCTCCGTGCTCTGAAACGTGGGGTCGTTTACGCAGGGAGTTGGCCCGGGAACGGCCTCTCGGACCTGACTGTCGTCAGTGTGCGGCTGCGGACGCCGCTTTACCTTTGCTGTTCGGTTGGGACGTAATCTGCAGGAAGGGGTGATTTCCTGACCACTGATTTCATGGCCAAGCCAAAGTGAAACTGTTTGGTGATGGGGCCGAGTGTTTTGAGGAATCAAAGTGAAATCGGAAGGAAAAAAAAAAAAATCCTCTCTCTCCCTCACCGTCACTTTAACACACTCTCACATGTCTCGGGAATGGTTTGGATGACCATGTTCCTGTAATATTCCTTCCAGGGGGGGGAATATAGGGTGGCTTACATGCGGCACTGCTCCCGTAGGGATTTATTGCTTCGGCACCGAGGAAGTAAATATTCTGTTACTTTATGTGCATTATAGCTGCTCCGGTATCTGGCCGAACAGGGCCGTGCTCGCACTTTACTCACTCTTTAAACAAAAAAAGATTGGACGCAATTTACAACAGGTAACGCTGATGTCAGGCTTACTTTTTAATGAGGACAAAAGTATGAGGCACCACGGTTGCCCCTGCGGTTGTCTGACAGCTCTTTGCAGCTACAGCTGGTCTTTCTGGCAGGTTTTATATCCTCCTTTCGGGAGTGTGATGTTTTGTATTACTTTTGTCCCCTTTTTGTTTTTTTTAAAAAAAAAAAAGAAAAATTCCCCCAGTCATCAGCAGCTGGACGAGAGGAATCTCCGGCCGCTGTTGCTGCCCGGAGCCTCGAAGCACTGTCTCTCCAATTTGAAAATGGCATCTCACGACGTAGGACGGCGCTGCCCGGGTCTAGTTAATCTGATGAAACGAGCCCGTTCCCTGCCGGGGTTGGGATCCACGTGCTGGTTTGGTGCTGTGCAGGGCTGGGGGGGGGGGATGGTTTGCCTGCCTGGCAGGCGCTGACATCCCCTTCCACGCGCTTTAGAGATCTTGCTGAAAGACTAGAAGCGGCTTCACCCTTCCAGCCTTGTCGCGCTGATGAGTATCTCTTGGGCAGAGCACCAGGGTTGTCTTTCCTCGTTGCGGATACAGCGCTTCGTACGCCGCAAATACTGACATAACTGGGGATCTTTGCCTTTTAAGGAGACTTTGTTCATGATGTTCAATAAGCTTGGTTTAAAATAAGCTGGTTTGGTCCTGTTAAAAATATCCCTGGCTTCTCTTTCTGGGACTTATTCTAACTGGTTAACAAGAGATGATTAACTGCCTTTGTTTACTCAGTAACCTGCTGTCAGTGGCAGCGACCACCAAAACTTTGATGCAAGCCTCAGAGCTGGAAACTTCCATCCTCTTTACAGCTACTGATAATAAAATCCATCGAGAGACATCTTACTGTGTCTTCAAAGCAGTGGCAGTGCTGTGAGGTCTTGCGCTGGTGGCAGACTGCAGGACCGGTGATATTTGGGGCAGTTACCGTGACATTTAGACAACCGTGTTAAGTTCCTGGTGATTCTCCTTTGAGATCTCTTGCCTTGGTCTCCTCGAGAGAGGCATCTCGTTTTGTTTTGTTTCTTTAACCTGTGGGAACAGAGAGAAATGGAAGAATATGATTTCTTGCACAAACCTGTTGTATCAAACCCTTTTAGCAGCTCCGTCAGCCGGCGCAGCGCGACAGAAGCTTCGTATTTGCATTAAACGCTGCGTTTGGAAACAGTTTGAGTCTCGCCGTCGGGGCGATTTGGTCCAAACACGAAATTATTCTGCACTGGGGCATTTGAAGTCATGAAAAACGGCACCGTGTATCCCTACCGCTTGTGGAAGCGATGGTAGGGAGGGCCACAAGTGGGGCATCTGCCCGCCGGGGTCCTGCGGATCAATCTGATAACTGACTTGGGAGCGTGACGCTTGTGGCTGGCCGTACTTATCAAATCAAGCGGAATAGCTGGAGAATTGAGAGAGTTTCGGCTGCTCGGGCTCTTCCTTAGCTCTGAAGCAGGAAACGAGAAGAATTGCTCGAGTTTAAGCGGGGACCCGAACAACTAAACCCCCCGAAAGGAAAGGCGCGGGGGGCCTTTGGAGCAGAGAGGAGAGTGCCGTTACCTCCTTGGAGGAGGGACAGTGGGGTAACGTGGCTTGAAGTGGTTCAGCCGGTGAATGAAAGTC